GTTGCTGCTGCTGCTGCTGCTGCTGCGTCGCCAGGCCTCGTCCGCTTTGCACTGGAGCGCGAGGCAGCGTGCCCATGCGTGTTGCACTGCCGTCAGTTTCCGCCTGACCTGCGAGACGCTCAGACCCCAATCTCGAGTTCGCGCAGGCGAGCGTGGTGTTTCGGGCTGGAAGACTGGAAAGCCAGTGCGTGCCATTCCTCACCGCCCTCGCCCACCAAAAGTGTATTTGGCCATCGAGTCCAGCGTCTCACTTCTTCTCCATCACCACCGCCATCCATCATCCCTCCTTCTCCGCTGCTCCTTCTTCTCTCTCTTTGCCTGCCAACCATCCTCGCGAACGTCGTCCCTTGAGTATCTAGCCTTTACTCACTGTCGCCGCACATCGCCCCGTAATCTTCGTAAACGAGTCAGCTTCGCTCGTTCCTCAGCATCGCTGTCAAACTTCAACGACACCCTTTCGTTTCCATCAAAACCCCACACTTGATCTTTCGTCATGTCTTCCAAGGGTAAGTTTTCTCTGCATACAATGTCTTCTGCAGATGTAACGCTCCAGACAGAATCAAGCTCTGCAGTGTCGTCTCGAGAAAATGGCACCCAAATCTGCACTTTTTGGGCGGCTTCGAAGGACTCGGAAAAGTGCCGGATCTGGCCTGGTTTGACGCTCTGCACCCGCGGCAGAGCGACCCAGATGCTCGCGTGAAGCAAAGCTGACACGTATGTTTGCCTTTCTGCCCCCGCCCATTCGATCCACAGCTATCCGAGAGTTCGACGCCAAGCTCCTGGTCAACTACTGGCTGCCCCGCTCGCCTCTGGCCCACGCCGACCTCAAGGTCAACGCCGACTTTGTCGCTCCCGCGCCCAAGGTCGCCCAGATCGCCTGGGACCCCACCACCAACTCCATCACAGACGAGTCGCAGCTCCCAGCATGGGTCCAGTCGACCAAGCTCGTCGCCAAGCCAGACCAGCTCATCAAGCGCCGAGGAAAGGCCGGCCTCCTCAAGCTCAACTCGGACTGGGCTGACGCCAAGGCCTGGATCCAGGAGCGCGCCGGCAAGGCCCAGCAGGTCGAGTCGGTCACCGGTACCCTCAACAACTTCATCGTCGAGCCCTTCTGCCCTCACCCCGCCGACACCGAGTTCTACGTCTGCATCAACTCGGCGCGCGAGGGTGACTGGATCCTCTTCACCCACGAGGGTGGTGTCGACGTCGGCGATGTCGACGCCAAGGCGCTCAAGCTCCTCATCCCCGCCGACCCTGCCGCGCCCTTCCCCAAGCGCGAGGTGTGGACCAGCACCCTGCTCACCGGCGTCCCCGCCGCCAAGCGCGAGGTCCTGACCGACTTCCTCATCCGCCTCTACTCGGTTTACGTCGACCTCCACTTCGCCTACCTCGAGATCAACCCGCTCGTCGCCACCGACGACGGCCAGATCGCCTACCTCGACATGGCCGCCAAGCTCGACCAGACCGCCGACTTCATCTGCGGCCCCAAGTGGGCCATCGCCCGTGACCCTTCCATCG